ATTAAAACAGATGAGTACTATTTTATGTAGTAGGTAATATAAATATTAGTAACTGAAATGACTGGAAAAATTACATGGATCACATGTTAAGTTTTCCCTGAACTTACAAAAACATTCTCAAATTTTTTGAACACATCAGAAAAATATTTCATTCATCTGAAAACCTCCTTTGCCATAACATAGATATTCAAGGGACCTTCCCGATTTATGTGAAGTTACTAAAAGTGCTGTTGGGTATAACCATAGAATCATAGAACAGTTTTGGTTGGAAGAGACCTTCAAGATCATCGAGTCCAACCTTTGTCCTAGCTCTACCAACACCACTAAACCATGTCCCTAAGTACAACATCTACCCGTCTTTTAAACACCTCCAGGGATGGTGACTCCATCACCTCCCTGGGCAGACTGTTCCAATGCCTGACAACCCTTTCAGTAAAGAAATTCTTCCATGACACTGCACAAATCCTTTCTCATTATAACATCTTTCTATCACGATGATCATTAGGGGAAAGAACATCCGAAGCCAGAGATGGTCCTGGACATATAACTCTTTCATCAACTATTTAAAGAGTTTAAACACCACCTAATGAGTTTAAAAGTATTTGAAGGAAGTAGTTTGCACTTGGTGAAATGCAGAGCAATTCTTACAAAGAATGGCTTCTAGAACTGACATACAAAATGGCCAAACTACCTGGCATAGCAATATAGGGATCACGCTCTAATGTTACCTTTCTGAGCACGTCAGGAGTTACCTGCTCAGATGACTATGTGTGCTGAGTGCTGCAGCTAAACTTACCATCCTGTGGCATTATTTTCATCCTTTTGGGCATCGAAGAGGATTACCCCTGCCAGAGCATGGGAATGAATGATCACATTTCAGTTTGGAGGAATATCTTACTCTACACTCCCATACAGTATGAAGAATTGCCTGCCCTAAATTTACTGAAATCCTGATCATACCTAGTTCAAATTGACATGCAATTTGAGTTAAATTTATTTTCTGCTCTTTCAAGGGAGACAGATTTTTTTTGTTTCTGTTTATTTAAACTGCTGTTGAAATTGGTTAATTAAAAGGATTTAAAAAATCTTAATACTCTAAACAGAGCAAACTGGTTCTGAATTATTAAGCAACATTTTAGATGCATTTAAATAACCTTAAGTGACTTAACTGCCACCTGATCCTAAGCTGTGGCTCAGAAAAATAAAATGTGAAATACTGTAGAAGTCTTGGCTTACCAGGGCTTCCAGATACTGTAAATAAAGAGCTTAAGTCTCTAATACCATGTCTGCAAAAGGCATACTCTCAAATACATAACTAATGCTCCACCTTAAGGAGAAATGAGCAGAAGAAATCATAGGTTGCAATTTTGATTTTTCAGAAGAAATGAAAAAGTTCGGTCTTTCAAAAATAGTCTTTCAAAAGAGAAAGCATGCCAGGACTTCCCTTTCTGAGGGAGACAATAAAGCATTCACAAACTTATCATTAACCCTCATAGGGTGGCTGAAGCCCAGCTTGGGTAAATTTGTTTTGCACATTCCTCCTACTGTTTCAGCTAGACCTGGTACACTTCAGCTCCTTGCCTGAAGTGTGGTGAAATGCCTGCTCTGTAAGATGTTTTAGGAAGACTTCTGCAGGTTTCCATCACAGAAGGAAGTGAGGAACTGATCATCTAGGAAATCTCCAGGGTACAGGGAGAAGGTGGATCTTGCAGCTGACAGATTGAGAGGACCACCAAAATTGGTGATTGGAAATGCTTTAAAGAGAAATGGACTTAAGAAGAAATAGTCAATGAGAAGGTTGACAGAGCACACTAATATGCTTAGAGTAAGCTCTTTTTGTCATAGTTAAATGCATTTTGAAGATTAGAGCGATTCTTGGCAGAAAGGGAACTATAATTCTAAGATCAGCACATACATTTAAATAGTGCACATTTGATTCATAAAGCCTTTGCAGGTGCATTCAAGAATTCAAAGAACTTACTATACAGCTTTTCACTCTGAAAGATGTGCTTGCTAAATGTTTTCCAAGTTAGAGGCACAAGTTACCTGCTGACCCAGGCTCACCTGTGTGATACACACTTGTCGGCAAGGTATGCACTGCTGCCTTGGTTAAGGTACTGAGAGAAAAGGTGGTTAATATCTAATTTCAGTGCTAGTAGAAAGAACAACACAGTCGGTGACAAAGACCAAACAAGTCACTGCATGTGCTTAACTGCTTTGGAATGTCACTGCTGCTTGAAAATCTACAAGTAGTGTCTGGAAAAGGTTAATCTGTGTATTTACTCATGTGTAGAAGTTTGTATTTACAGTAGGGTTATGATACCAACTTTAAGTTAGCTAAGGATATCTGTGTAAGCAACTGGAACATAGAACTAACAACTAATGAATTTTTATCTACCAAAGAAGTAAAAATACTTCAACAACACTGTATCAGGCTCTCAGGACTGATAGCTTTGAAAAGCTAGTTAAAATGCTCTAACAAGTTTACCATATGAAAATGCTGATTTGATTGAAGATAAACCCCTTGTTTTGATAAAACAGAAACATTTTTGGAGGTGCATATGTTATAGTAACACAGATTAGGATAGAATTAAAAACATTAACTCAACAAGACACGTTTTCACCTTATTGCAGCAAAAACTTCAGCAAAGTAATTCTGATACTTTTGAACATTTTTTTTTTTCAAAAATGTTATGTGTAGTTTAAATACAAACAGACATTTTAAATTATACTGTTTTCTGAAGCACAAGCATCCCCAGTGCTCTGTTCTTGTTGCAGAGATTTCAATGGATGTCTGTGATACATATCATATAGCAGAAGGGTCTTGACAACTTACAGTGTATTTTTAAGAAGCTATATACCATGAAGCCTAAGGCAATAAATATATACTTTTACTGTCCTTCCAAGGCACTCATCAATGACTTTTTTTTTTTTTTTTTTTTAATCTGTCTATGGAGTTGCACACTTCCAACTTTCCAAACCTGGGGAACATGGCAGATGTCATTTATAGTTCTCAGCGGTTACCAAACCCCTGGGGATTATGCTTTGTTGTAGATATGATGGTCACAATGGCAATCGGATTCATACATGGATGCTGAGTCAATCATCATGAATCATTTATGTGACTCCTCATACATGGCATTATTAGGTTGATATCATAGAAAAAAAAATGACAGGGTCTTTGCTTCCCATGCGACAGACCAATGGCTCCATATCCTGCCATTAAACTCTCCTTTCTTGGCCTCAGCGTTTTCTCCCTGACAGTTTCACAAATGTACTGAAAATACCAGCCTGTTCAATTTAGTGGTCGTTTTTCTTTCCTACTTATTTTTTAATTTTTTCTTATGTGATTTGTCTGATCAATTTTTGAGTTTGCTACAGAGGACTAAAATTAATAACAATGGTGATGTGATTATGTTCAGAAACAGTCAGTCTAAAGTGCAAATAAATGTAAAAAGTTAGAGTAATATATTTGTAGTTCTTTTATATTAAATATGTACTAAGACATAAATATGTTACAGGCAGGGAGTTATGACTCGCAAAATGTTTAAAATACACAAATCCATTGTTTAGACTGTAAAAGACTGGTTTTCTTCTGTCAAGTAGACTGAACAACCTGTAATTCTGGACACATAGTCTTTGGTTCCACTGGAAATGATATTACATGCTTAAGGAGTAAAGTTAATTAGCGATTAATGAGATTCCTTAAATGCTGCATTTCAGTCTGACTGACTAGGATTCTCAATATAAGACAAGGTGGAAGAAAAGCTGTAAGCACTACAATCCTGTTCATAGAGTAATGCCAAAAATTGGTCAGAAATCACATCCACTCTCAAGGCTGTACGCTTGCTAAGGACATTATTTTCGTCCCCTTTGGAGTACTTGTGACTCTTTGGAGTATTTACAAATAAGATGATAAAGCAAGAGGTATCTGTTACAGAACAGTGCTGTAAACATGCTCATCAGAGCCTTATTCTTAGTGAACTTCCTCCAGGGGCAGTGATGGGAAACAAAATGGCAAAGACCAAGTTAGTGAGCTCCTTTGATGAAAAATGGCTTAACCAGTGACCTGGAGATGCCTCCAGCAAACAAACCCTTGGCTGATCCAGAGCTGGCCCCACGCATTTGCAGTACTGAGGCAGTATGGCCAAAAAGCTGCTGAAATTCACCCACCACTGCTTGGCTCTCTACTGTCATCTCTGCAGTGCCTGATACCTTTGTCTTCTATACAGGGCCCCTGGTAATTGCTGCACAATTGGACAAAAAACTGACTTTTACCTTTGCTGTAACAATGGCTAAATAAAAAATGACAGTTAATTTGTAACAGAGGAGAAAACATATAGGTATATTTTCAAAGAAACTTAGTAACCAGCCCATAAATATCTGTTGATAAATCAACAGAATTTAATTGGCTTTTGCAAGCAGTATTGATTTTGAATATCAGTCACAGCAGGTACATCATTAGAATTTTGAGGTAGGAGATATAAATGATTACTTACTGATATTATGTAACAGGTGGATGAATAATTTGTTAGAACGTACTGATTAGCTCATAACTGTATACTACCTGACACCAAGCCTTCCTTGTTCATAACATAAAATTACATCAAAATGGCAAAACCAGAAAGATCAGAAGTACCAGCCCATAACAGACCTAAACAGCATACTAATACCGACGTGGCTTCCTTTGAAACAGGATGTGAGCAACACGGGCTCAGCATATTCGGACAGTTTTCATTGAATATGGTCCACAACTTGTTTGCTCCAGAAATGGAGGATTTTTTACAAAGTCACTGGAAACAGGTTTTGCAATGCAATTTTGTATGTACCATACGATAGCATTGGTAGGTTAGCACCTGCCTTGCTTAGAGGCACAGAGCTTGGCAGCACACTAACATGTTCAGGCATATCTTTTACCTTCTATGCTATAACATTCTGGTCATCTAACGTACAGGAGTAAGAAGTAGCGGTATTTATTAATGAAAGGTACATTTACTCACATCTCTCCTCGGAAAGGTGCCCAGCAGCTTGTACTCCTCCCAAGGATATCCCTTGGAAGCTACAAAATCAAAGACAACCTGCAGCTTGCTGCTGGCCAGGAAACGTCGCTCAAAGAATTCTCCACTGGGTGTCCGAATACGCAGTTTACTGACGGACTCGGTGCTCTCCTCTTTCGGTTCAGGAGGCAAAGACTGCTCAAGAGAGAGCCTGATAGCCTGAGGAAGAAAAAAATAACCATTTAGGTTGCAATGCTAGCAACAGAAGAAGAGGACAGAAAGCTTTTCTTTTTATTTCTTCTAGAACTTCAAGATGTGCCACAGTGCTCCAGAGCCATAGCTGTACTTTGTATCTCAATGACAAAACCAATTTTTATTCATTCCTTAATAACAGCCCACCAGACAACTAATTAAAATAAATCCTTCTTTATAACACATATTATTAGGTCTACAGTTAATGCACAATGGGGACAAGTAATTTAATCATTTGGCAGAAAGCCTTGGAAAAAATTTGAATGAGAGAATAATTGTCAAGTGGCCAATTGCTTCCTTAAAGGGTATAAATTAAAGGCAGTGAAAGTATTTCTTTAAATGCACTTATCAAATTGCCTTCCTCTTGCACACAGTAATTGACTGTTTGCAGCAAAGACAAGACCCGTAGTGGCAGTTCAGAGTAAAAAGAAATATATGCAGGAGATTTACTATAAATAAACTAAAACACTGTAAAAAGACATAATTAAAAATTTCATGAAGGTACATTAGACACAGAGTACATATAAAAGTAGGAATGGTCAAAGAAAAAACTGGGAGAAGAGAAACAGGAGCTTTGAGATTTAAAGCAAGCAATTATTATCATTTGAAGGAAGATGGCTCCAATCACAGGTGTGCACATTTTTGGCAACAACTTGCATGAAATCAGCCCAAAAATTGCAATGACATTACATATCTGAAAATGCCTCTGACTATCTTCTGGCTAACATTGTGTATACTGCTGATGTCAAGATTTTAAGGACAGGAGCCAAGTCTGTGTTCTCTGTGCTCTGCCTCCAGGAGCTACTATGACACTAATACTTTGATCACAAGTGTTTTCTTTTTTTTAAAATTGATGCATAATATTAGACTGCTGAACGAGGTGGGCTTGATTTGTGAGGCTACTGAGCGCTGCTGGTACTCATGGACAGGCATTGGCATCTGTTAAAAATTAGATCATCCTTAGAAAGCAGCCTCGTTACAGTATCACCTCACTCAGGGCAGCGGTTAATGAGAATGTCAATGAACAGAAACAGCAGCTCGATCACACTGCCTCCCCCAAAATATGCCTAAAAGACAATTGTCCAAACACAAGAGGCAGTCAGGTGCAGATTCACCCAGACTTTCAAGGAACTTTCAAGATACACAGTTGCTATTTGTGCCTTTGAAAACCTCCCCAAGGTCATTTAGTAACAGAAACTGATGGAGGATGATTACATTAAAGAGAAAGGACTGGGCAGAAGCAAGATTACAAAGGCTTTTAAATAGTCTACTTCTTACACATGAGCCTCTGAGCAAATTATATCTCAGTATAAATATTTATACATAGAACTTGAGTTCATTTTTGCTCATCTACTATGAGATTATATTTTAAATAGATTCTATTTTAATTTTCTCTTTCTCCGTTCTCAACCACCTGCTTACTATCTTTCTGTTTTGACATTTCCCCACACAGTATAACAACAGATGCTACATTATTTACTGAACCCAATCAATTATATTATAGAAAAATAAACAACAGTAGCTCATTAGAGCTCTTTTCTTTGTGCAAAGAGTGCGTCGCTCCCCAAAGTAACTAGTCTTTATGGCTTCAACGTAAAATGGCAATTTACAATGGATATTCTGTACCAGCAAACCAAGTCAGAAAACAACGATGTGATGGATCACATTAAAAACTCTTGGACCTGAACAAGCAATTTCAGTTTGTTGATAAAAAGATGTTCAGTATGTGACTAGCTCAACAGTCAGATTTTAAATATACAAACTGAACATAAAGCCACTTCTGTAAGTAAACACTGTTGCAGAACAATTCAGTCTAAGTAATCTGTATTGAGAATGGGGAGTGTTAGTAAACACTATTGTTAAAATCCCTTTTGTTCTACTAAGCAAACAGATCCTATTATTTTCATTACTGCACTCTACATTAAAACAGGGAAGCCCAGGTATATTTTGATAAGATGGACCAGTCTTGCAGCCTTTCCGTAAGAAAACAATTTCCAAAAGGCCAAGGTATTAGCAAAGGTTCAGGAGCAGATATAATAAAGCAGAATTAATTATTGTTTCTATGCATGCAAAATTACTTAAAAAAAAAGAAAACCACACTTCTTGAATCTGAGTGTGAGCCGATTGCTCAACAGTCTGTTTGTTACTGCTACAGTACCGATTTATGTTTGATGGCTATTAACCTCACAGAATTGCTCTCTTACAATTATTCTTGACACAATTCTCACAGTCCAGTTTTCTGCACTGCTCCTTCAGTTATGCTTTAGTTTCCATTCTCGGCTTACGTTAACAACAGCAGCTAAATAAGCCATCAGCTACTGTAGGATAAGAAAGAAGAAGTGGACTGCATCTTTCCCAAACCATTGAATACTATCGCTTGGACTGAATTTAGTATTTACAATGCAGTACGGTTTAGAAGGTTCTTGAATGCTTAAATGGTTCAGGGTTTTTAATGCAATTATCTTGGTCAAAAAATATATATGCAAATGCACGGCTCATACAGTTTGTTTATGAGGTTTATCTCAGGGAATAATAAATGTGTTCATAGCCAATTTTTTGCAGTTGTATAATGCAATTTTTACATACATCAGCAAATTACACAAGACTGAAATGTCAAGTATAGACTTAAGTCCTGTGTAGGGGGGCGAATAAGCAAGGATGTGATTTATCAGGATTCCATGAGTTCCAAGGACTTTAACTAAGAGGAGAATCAAATGAGAATATAATTCCAAATTTCAAATCTCCATAATCCATGAAAGTCAAAGCAAAGACATTACATTAAGTCCACCAAAAATACTGGAACTCTGGTATTTTATATAAATTAATAAATATTTTTAATATTTATATTTTATATAATACTGGAAACATACTCAGGAAATATATATTAAATAGGGATGCTGATACAGCTTTGTATTCATTAGCAACTTCCTCACAGAATCTTATACGCCTTAAAGTCAAAGGACAACCCCCAATCAACTGTGATTTCAGTCAAGGCATTTATAAGTGAATATGACTTCTGTTTTGGAAGTCTGATTCAAGGGTTTCAAAGTACTTTTAAAGTGTCAGCTGTGTTTCACAGCAGTTCTGTAAGGACTTGTATTTCAACAACTTCACAGAACAGATGGAAATATTTTAATGACTAGTCTATTTTACTTATCCTTTGAAATGCGGTGGGACTTCAAGGGGAAGAAACATGGCTGTACCCCAGCCTTTTTACCACAGGAAGTCATAGTATTTGTAAATTTATGTACGTGCTGCTTTATCTAAATACCTACATAGACACACAGCTAGGACAGGAGCTAGCCTAGATCCTGAAAGAGGCTGCAAGAGCCATCTCTGACAGGCACTGGACCCTCAGAATCTACAAAATTGAGAGAATCTACAAAATAACAGAGTTTGAGGAACAGGACTCTTCACAGCACATGGTTTCTATTTTCTTATATAGACCTAGAGATGTAAAGTGTTCATTTAAACAAAATTTTCATTCTAAGGAAAATTCTGTAGAAGACTGTTTAGTAATTTTAAAATGTACCATAAATCAAATTTCTAGATTTTGAATTTTTTTTCCTTAATTTTTTTTTGGGTTTTTTAAGCGTTTTGTCTCCCAAATTAAATTTGGCAACTTGTTTGATCAGAATTGCAGGTAGGCTTTGTGCTACTTCCTGGAAGAAATGAATGGGCTCCATGGTATTATATTTTTTAAGGAGTGCCTGCAGAAACAAGGTTAGAGGTTTCCAAAGATTCCACCATTTATGGAGCTCATGTCATGGAACTCCTGTTAGCAGGCCTATCTAATATCTGGCTCTAATTCAGCCCCAGATGATGTAACCGTGACCCAGATGATAGAACAGAAAAGCTGTTAAACAGTGGATGAAAATGATTTAGCTGCACTATGTTTTATATAGACATGGTAAGAAATTAATTTAAAACAATATTGATGTTCACATAAAAAGTATACTTTGAATTAAAGTTGCAATGTGTGTTGAATGAAAGTTGCAATGTCCATAAGCTTCATGAATCCAAAAAATCATCAGAAAATGTAAAACATCCCACCTCACGTTCTTCCTCCTGTTCTTTCCGAATTTGTTCCAAGCGAAACTGCTCTGCCATTTCTCTCTCTTGTGCTTCCCTCTAATAAACACAAACAATAATCACACATGTATCACCTCACTTTCCACAGCTGTGTTTAATGATGTGCACTAGCTATACAAAAGCAAAGAAACTTCTCGACTTTTCTGTAGAAATTAATATAAGAAATAAGATATTTATTAACTGATCTTTTCCTGTCATTTGTTTCCCAACTTCTGTCATTAAGTGGGGCCAGGACTGCTTTAGCAAAAAGATGTAGTCAAGTCTACTCCTAGTGACTGTATCTAGTGCCATTTACAACCACTGAGGGCAATAATGGCTCCTGCAGCAACCATATCATCTTAAGAGCAGAACTGAAGGTGGGCAGTCTTCTGCACCAGGGAGATTTCACCAGCTGTGGAGAGATTCCCATCCCGACATTCATGTGATTACTTCACCCTGCACACACCTTTGCTCTGTCAGCCTCCAGTGATATGCGGTATGCTTCATCCTGCTCTCTTTTCACGTTTTCTCTGGCTTCACGTTCATCCTAAAGATAGAAAAAGAAAAGAAAAGAAAACAAAAAATATCAGCAAACAGTGGACCAATACGATATATATCTTTATGTTCACCAGCACTTTTTAACCCCAGTGACTTCAAAATATTTGACTGCCTTACTCATCTAACTACTGCTAGGAGAAATAAGTTCAGAAATGCCTCAAGGGCAACCTTGGCTTTAAAAATTATGAGTTACCTAAAGCTATGTTCCAATTGCCGTGTAATGGATTGGCGTGTCCAGGCCCTGGCCTGAGGGCTGGATCTGGCACCAAAGCTCTTTGCCCTGCCATTTTTTGCCCTCCTCACTGTGGCCAGCGCAGACCCGGGAACGGTGCAGCCTCCTGCCCCACCAGCCACGTGGGGAGGGGGTCACTGGAGTGGTACGTGTGGGCTGACACTGGGGAGGATTTCACTCCTGCAGCCGACAGTTTGGACAGTCTTGTAATAGGGAAGGACAGACCGTGATTGAGAGGACAAGGCTGGATTTTAATTTGCTCTCTGGTCAGACTGACAGCAGGTAACGGCTTGTCCTGTGAGAGAAGGCCTGCTCCCAGGTCCTTCCTTTGTAAGTGAGCCCTCAGCAGGATCCATCCAGGCTCATGACATCATCCAGAGGCCTCAGTTCCCAGTGTTGAATATAACACAAAGATGGGAAATCAGCAAGTCCTGCTCTGAAGCATCTCAAATGGACAGATGCAGGCAGACAAGAAACATGAAGTTAGCATGCCAACTCCAAGCCAGCAAACCTAGCAAAGGATCTTATTAATGATCACAGCACAAAGAAATAAAGGTTTACGAGAACTATGTGAATGCCAAAGCGAGGCATCACCCACACGGTGGAGGATCAAGAAGTGGATATCCCCAAAAGCTGGAATAACTGCACTGGGGTGAAGTCTGATAAAGCAAAGTGTACAATTGATATCTTCATACTGTGCCTCTGGAGCCAGAGATAGCGTCTGCTCCCCTGTGCTTACTCCTCTTACATCTTATAATCCTCCCAGAGCCCTGCAGAGGCTGCACTGGTCCCTACAAAAATCAATAAGGTTTAGCTGTGAGGCTGCTGGTGGGCTCAGCATGGTCACCTGTAGTTACCAGTAACACAGCACTTGCACTGGGGTAATCTGTTCCCCATATTTCATAGAAATTAAAGTCTACTAGCTAGTTTCTTGAAGAATTACGTTAATTTTCCCATTCATCTGCAAGGTTTATTCCACATAAAGGAATCATTTTGCAAAGGGATCAATCATCTCGCCAAAATGTTGTTGTTTGGCAAAAACTCAATTCTAAATTGGAAGAGCATAGGTTAACTGTTATTATCACATCATGCAAACATGCCAAGGTGTTCCTCAAACAAAATTCTAACATATTAGTGGTTAAAAAGCTCTAAAGTAGCATGCAACCACAAGAGGGAAAGACAAATTGCAGGAAAAGGTATACAACCTCCAGTTGGAAAGTAACAAGATCTTTTTAGAGGAAATTCTTCTTCCTTATAAAAACAGGACCCAAGATTATTCTACAATCAATGTGTCCTAAATGTCATTCACAGAAGACAGAGAAACCATCACTTTGTTCAGCAGAGCTAAGACAAGACAAGAAGTAATTCTTGCAACTGTAAAAAGGACAATAACCACCAAATAATCGATTCCCCTTCTGGCTTCTCTGGACCTTGATGAGCTTTATGTGCCATGTTCATGGAATACCTTCAAAAAGTAACTCCAACGTGATAGCAGAAACTCCCCTACATTAATATTCCATTTTATGTTATCCAAAAATGAGGAAAGCTTCTTGAATACACAGAGGTTTTCCCAACTCTTCTCTCAAATGGAATGTAATATAAAGGAAGAAGTTTTGTACTATCTGTACTGAAACTTTCCATAAGTATACCATAAATTTATCTTGTAATGGTGAGAACCAAAACTGTCTTCCCAAATCACCTTACTAAAGGAAGATGAATTCGGGTAATCTGAGAGAGGACAAGCATTTAAAAAAATAGTAAGAATTATTTCAGAGAGAACATACTTAACTTCCATGTTTTGGAGCTTCATGTATCACACCTAACTTCACATAATAACTGAATTTCAAAGGTTGCACAAGTCCAGTAATGCCCGAAAAAAAAGGTGAAAGATCAGATACAACTATTGCAAATACAGGCTCTTTTCGTTAAAGATTGCTAGCAATGAACACATAGTTACTTTAGTTTACAAAAATAAAACCAACCACAAACTACCCCAACCCAAACTAAAAGCAACCCTCAAAAAGTAAAAATTTATAAAAATTGTTAAAACTCACTCAAAAATATATACTAATCAGCGTTACAAGAGATTGAGTACTGGCTTTTATTTTACATCTTACAAACTGTATAGAAAACTCCAGGAAGTTACTACAAGTTAACTTGTGATGAGCACAGGATTCATTTACCTACAGAGAGCTTCACTGAAGAATTTTTTAAATAGGTTTAAATTACCTGGATGATAACTGCAAAAAATACTGACACTATAGATTCTTCAAATTGAATCTAAACATGAATTCCAGGCATTAAAAAAAAAATAATAAAAATCTCTCCTCCCTATTCATTGCAGTTATCATCACCCTAAAAGTGGATTATGAAAAAGATGTCAGGAATGTGAAGAATTACTACGCATGACTGGTGGCTCACATATTTCTATGTGGACCAGCATCTAAAAGTAAATCACCATGCCACCGAGTTTTACACTGCATCGAAACAATACTGTTCTTACTGAAACAGACCCCAAAAACAAATCTGGAATTCACATTTATTTAGGTAAGAAGCAGATGTGATCCTACAAAATGTCTCTTTGTACCTACTTCTGTGTTTTGTTAATACTACTCACACTTGACAGGAACCACCTCCTCTATGGAGATTACAGCAAAATTGTAGCATTCTCTAGTTCAGAGTTATACCTTGGACAAATTTTAAACATTAGATAAAGCAGTTCTCCTTTTTGTAATGCATTTTGTTATTTTAGTCATCTTTTCCTCTACAGAAACCACAAAGTATGAGTATGACTCAAGCTCACCAGAAAGCAACAGAAGAAAATTCATAATGGTGACAGGAAAAGCAGAAGGAAATATTTCGCAGAGAAGCTTTCATTGCATTAACAAAAAACACATAAAGAAAAATAGAACAGTCATACCACCAATAATTAAAAAAATGTCCTGCTATCCATCAACAAAATTTGAGGTAGCTGACAACTTTCCTGTTAAACCCTACATAAATTGCAGCATCAACTGAACATCAATAAATGCAGCTCCACAATACTATTGCAATGAAGGCAAAATTGCCACCTTCCTTTTTCAAGAAACGAAGGTGTGATCAGATAATGGTTTATCCTGGGTCACTTAAATAGGGTTATACAGCATTTCTGAATTCCACAGCAGTGATTGAAGGCTGGTGTGAATGTAAACCATCCACATCCCTGGGCTTTAGAGCATGAGGCGAGGAGATAACTCTCCTTTGCTCCTTACAGGGAAAAAGTCACAGATCTCCGCTTTCCCATTTTGACAATGCAACAACAGAAGGGACATTCATTCAATGGGAAGTTAATACATTAAAAAAAAATTGCATTTATCCACAGAATATACTTTTTAGCTCTGAATTTTCTTTGCTATCATGCATATTACAGATGCAAAGTCATAACAAAAATAGTAAACACTTATATATTAATGAGATAGTTACAACAGACCAGATAAAATCTTCTCTTGAGTAAAATCCAGGGCTACAAGACTAAGAAAAACTTACAGATAAGGTTAAGAAGAAATTTAGGATAACTCTCTCCAATAATTATTCCCTAAACCACTTCTTGAAGTTACCCCTGAAGCACCTATTAGCAAGCATTTTCAGATGCAGGATGATGGAAAAGAGGGATTCCTGATTGCATTTAGGACAGCAACACCCCTTTTCCTGCAGATTCTACAGGGGAAAAAAGTACACAACACATTTGGCTTTTGGATGGGATATTTTGCTGGAAAAGTCAGCACTGGCCAATAAATGTAAACATTTATTGTTGTTGTTTCTCAAGGTAGGATTTAATGATTCAACCCCAGGAATCAGCTTTGCACCTGATTGGTCTCAGGGAGAAGTGTTCTACTTTATTCCCCATTGACCTTTGGGTTCAGTTTTACTGTGAAGTAAAACCAGATGAGACTGAACTTGAGAAGATAATCATGAACAGAAAACATTTCTCAGAGCATCAGTGAGTAAATGGCTATTACAAGAAAGGGAAAAAAAAAAAAAGAGAGTGTATTTACAAACGCTGAATGCTTATCTGAAAGACAGTTCATTTCACTGAACCACTCCTGAAATTAAAATCTGCAAGTGCTTAAGGCTATTCATGGGAGTGTTAAAGAGAAACACCCCTTTGTCCAAACAAACCAGTGCAAGAAAGGCATTAATTTGACTCACTAAGATGACAGACTTGCACATTGTATAACTTAAACATACATGATGGGGAATATATGGAAGGAGAAAATGTACACAGAAAGTGTTAGGCACATGAGAACGATGAAGACAAAACAAACAAATGTTTCTGTGGTGGCAGAACCACAGGTGGGGAGGCAGGATGGGGCAGGATGAGGGGGCAGAACAATGCAGAACCATGGGAGGATCCTGCCTGGCTATATCAAAGGCTGAAAGCCCTGTTCCAGATACTGATTTTTGGGAATTACCTCAAGCGACAAGAAAGAAAACAAACCCAAAAACCTTCAAGAAGCAGTCCTGCAGTGACTTTCCACAGGAAATGAGCCAGCTACAATGTCCACCCACCTGCACTGCACAGCAGGGAAAGCTGATGTTCAGTAAGAGAAACTAAGTGAATATTCAGCAACTGGAGCCATCGACATATAGGGCCAAAAAGCCACATGAACTAGAGATATTTATTTTTATCTTCTTTCTTTCTGCTGTCATTACCTTGCATTTTGTCACAGTTCAAAATATGCCGTAAACTCTCAAAGGCAGCACTCGTACCTGCTGGT